GGGCTCTGGAAAGGGTCTGGAAGAGACCTCTGGGGTTCTGGAAGGGGTCTGGAAGAGACCTCTGGGGTTCTGGAAGGGGTCTGGAAGAGACCTGGTATTTCTGGAAGGGGTTCAGAATTCTGTTTGACTAGAGAAGCATCTTCTGGCGAAAAAAAAGATGCTGAATAACTTTTTTACAGAATTATTTTGAATACTGAAAGATAAGTAATTTTCCTGCAGCTGCTGCAGCTGCTGTGGTAATTAACCTGAGGTAAAGTGGTTTGTTTGGTGTCAGCAGGGTCATTGTGTCAGCAAGGTCATGGTGTCAGCAAGATCATGGTGTCAGCAAGGTCATGGTGTCAGCAAGATCATGGTGTCAGCAAGGTCATGGTGTCAGCAAGGTCATGGTGCCAGCAAGGTCATGGTGTCAGCAGGGTCTTTGTGTCACTAGCGTAATGGTGTCAACAAGGTAATGGTGTCAGCAAAGTCATGGTGTCAGCAAGGTCATGGTGTCAGCAAGGTCATGGTGCCAGCAAGGTCATGGTGTCAGCAGGGTCTCTGTGTAACTAGCGTAATGGTGTCAACAAGGTAATGGTGTCAGCAAGGTCATGGTGTCAGCAAGGTCATGGTGTCAGCAAGGTCATGGTGCCAGCAAGGTCATGGTGTCAGCAGGGTCTTTGTGTCACTAGCGTAATGGTGTCAACAAGGTAATGGTGTCAGCAAAGTCATGGTGTCAGCAAGGTCATGGTGTCAGCAAGGTCATGGTGCCAGCAAGGTCATGGTGTCAGCAGGGTCTTTGTGTCACTAGCGTAATGGTGTCAACAAGGTAATGGTGTCAGCAAGGTCATGGTGTCAGCAAGGTCATGGTGTCAGCAAGGTCATGGTGTCAGCAAGGTCATGGTATCAGCAGGGTCTTTGTGTCACTAGCGTAATGGTGTCAATAAGGTCATATTGGATGTATCGAGAGTCGTGACATACTGGAAGAGTCGTGCGTCGTGTCATACTGGAAGAGTCGTGCGTCGTGTCATACTGGAAGAGTCATGCGTCGTGTCATACTGGAAGAGTCACGCGTCGTGTCATACCGGAAGAGTCACGCGTCGTGTCATACTGGAAGAGTCGTGCGTCGTGGATAACTGGAAGAGTCATGCGTTGTGTCATACTGGAACAGTCGTGAATCGTGTCATACATTTAGTATGACACGACTTACCCATCGTCATATGTCTAGTATGACACGACTTACCCATCGTCATCATGTCTCCATGATGACTATGGGTACGTCTAGTGAAGGTAATGAATAGATGGGGAAGGCTAATTCATTTCACAGCTTCAAAAGAAGGCACGGTAGATTACTAATGGATAGGAGTAAACCGCACCTGTCAAGTGATTGTTAAGAGGCGGGACCCGGAGTTGTAGCTCACCCACAGCTCTCTGCTCATTTCTTATTTTTTTTATTTTTTTTTTTTTTTTTTGAGTGTCTCTGCGTCTCCTTTCTGTGCCGACGTATTTGTGTTGGAGATTAAGGATATGTTTAGTGAAGGAGATCGCTTTGCTTATCAACATCACGTTGGGTTTGAGTATTCATATCAGAAGCGGCAAGCTTCCAGCAAATGCTCTGTCAGTTTTCTTTCTCTCACAGGCAGGTCGAGCGAGATGATTCTTCACCTGATTCTGTTCTCCCGCAGGAAGGTCGAGCGAGATGATTCTTCACCTGGTTCTGTTCACTCACAGGAAGGTCGAGCGAGATGATTCTTCACCTCGTTCTGTTCACTCACAGGAAGGTCGAGCGAGATGATTCTTCACCTGGTTCTGTTCACTCACAGGAAGGTCGAGCGAGATGATTCTTCACCTGGTTCTGCTAGCATCTTCAGTACCGTAAAGATGGTCCTGTGATCAGAAGTGTCAATATAACCCAGTGACTGTTCCTTCCGACAGAAGCGCTGAATTCTAAGCCAACTGAAGATTATTAATATAATCAAGGGGAAGCGCTAAACCCGGAGGATTATACAGCGCCTGGTGGGGGATGTGGAAGGCATTCAGGCTTAATTCGGGGAACTGGAGCACAGGTCCAATTCCCTAAATCAAGAGCCCCTCACCAATATCAAGGAACCTTCCTTGAGGGGAAGCCAACTGAAGAACGGCAAATTTTTGCTTTATGTCAAACACTGCAAAAAGTTTATCAGAATGCCTTTCAATTACGTATCCGATGAGGTCACCAACAATTATAATTTGGTGACATTAATGTTATAATAAGAGAGAGTCTACATTTCTCTCTCTCTCTCTCTCTCTCTCTCTCTCTCTCTCTCTCTCTCTCTCTCTCTCTCTCTCTCTCTCCCAAGATCAGGTTCAGCTACACCTCAGGGGAAATGTTGGGGTGGAAATGGTTAAGGTAATGAGAGGGAAAGACTGTGTCCTGAGTCTAAGTAATGTGATATTCTCATCTCCCTCCTTCTCTTCCTGCAGTATTCTCATCTCCCTTTTCTCCCTGCGATATTCTTGTCTCCCTCCTTCCCTTCCTGACATGGTTTGAGCTCCCTTCGAACGCTGTTTCTTCAAAAAGAATTGTGTCATAATGATCTCTCTCCTCACATGGGCTCCCGAACACCCGCGGTAATTTGTTCGGTGTGATGTTCGCCTTCAGATCCTTCTCTTTCATTCATTTCAGTGGATCTCTGTAACCACTAACTGCTCTTTATTCCCAAGGGTTTCCTTACCCTTATGCCATGTGCATTACCTGCACTTGTCCGGATCAAACTCGAGCAGCCAATTACTGGACCACTCTTGCAGCCTCGCTGACCTTCTGAAGTCACTTTCCATCAGTAACTTATATTATTTTTATAGATACATAAATAAATGGTTGATAATAACTATATTATAAGATAAAGGGAGACAGGAAGGAGGAACACAAACGATGAAGACAGAGAGGTACACATGGGAAAGAAATAGAAAATTAAAGAGAAATGACATAAAATATGGACGCGATGGCAAAAGAGACAGTAGAGTAACATCATTCTGTCCCAAGATGTTGCTGTGTCAGACAGAAATGTAGATGAATGGTTCAGAAAACCATTCATCAACCTGTCGGTTCCCTGAACCATTTTTCTACAACATTCGGTCATTGACTGACAACGTTTCGCCTACACAGTGGACTTTATCAAGTCATAAAGAAATAAACCTGGAGAGGGAGAAAAAGAGAGACCCGAAAGGCTGAGAAATAATATGACAGAAAAAAAATGCTAGCCAAGACAAAGGAAAAGGAGAAAAAGACGCTAACGGAGCTGAACACAACAAAAGCATGAACCTGATGTCTTCACCGCTGACAATAGTGAAAAAAAGGCTGCTGAACAGTCTTTTATTTGCACGGTGTTCCACGCTACCTAGAGCGAGATAAAGTGAAGAAGATACTAGTGAAAATAACAGACTGTGTATCACCCTCTGTACTAAAGGAAGGAGGTGTAAGAACCTCTGTGTAAGCTAATGGAAAGGTGCTATTGCCAGTCGCAAGGGGCATATAGAGGATATCTGGAATGTATAGTTCATTCTGCGTGAGAAGAGGGACACAGACACACTGGGTGTTTCGTTCGGCTGTTGCTGTTGGCAGCCTATGGAGAAAGGTCAAATGTTAATAAGGAAGATGAGACACCGAGAGGCTTCGAGTCTGCTCCTGTTACCACAAATTGGTAATCATTCTCTCTCCCGCTCTCTCTCTCTCTCTCTCTCTCTCTCTCTCTCTCTCTCTCTCTCTCTCTCTCTCTCTCTTCCTTCTCTCAGCCTCAATTAGGTGGGCACAGTTACGTAGCGTGTGTGCCTTGAGTTAAGCGAACAGAGTATCGAGCATCCACCACTTCTTGCACTGAATGAGCCTCACCGGATTAGTGCTTCACATGAAATTTTTACGCGTTTAGATTAAGAGTTTCGACCTTCGTTTATAAGATAAAAGTTGTTATCGACTTATCATTTTAAAGCCTTTTTATTGTTATGAGTCATGCAAATAAGGCATACGATGAAGTTGGAGCCATTTGTGGGGCAGCGATTTCATTGTATCAACTGACTTTAGTTCATCGATAGAGTGACGGTCTTGAGAAGTGTACAGCCGGAGTGTAGTTGATGGTTGTTGCCCGTCTTGTCATGTAGAAGTTGTCTTCTCGCTGTCAACGAAATGTAGCCGAAAGAAACCTCTTTAACTTGGCTTTCTATTATTAATGATAATTTTTCTTTTGGTGAAAAGTTTGAAATTGTGAAGGTCTGTGTACAGTCTAATTTGCCAGTTTTCTTTGTTTAGAAATTAATTCCATGTGATAACTAGTTATTACATCTTCCCTTTCACTTAAAATCCTCAACCTTAATATGTAACTGCACTGCATATTAATGTTTCTCTCTGCACTATGCCTTTCGCATTCACTGGGGTACAGAGGGCTGGGGTTATGCAACATGGGGATATCACTCTCACATCGTGTAGTGACTGAAATGCATCTAGTTCCTGTTACATTTATATGGAAACTCTAAACCCGTAAGAGTCGTACAGTGCCTGGGAATGGGAAATAATCAGTTTTGATCCCAGGGAAGTATAGGGAGGGGATAGCTCCAATTCTCTGGATCATGAGCCCTTCACTAATATCATCCTGCTCCACGTCTCGAGGTATAACACGGGGTCTTTTGGAAAAGCTGGATTCACATAACCTAAGAAATAAAAAACAGGAACTGCACTCGGGAAGTTTTTCTCCCAGCCCACATCTCAAGTTGTAACATGGGTTCTTATGGGAAAGTTAGATTCACTTAACATAAAGAAAACAGGAACTAAGGAGAATTATTGTCAGAGTCCGCATCTATAGTTATAACGTGGGTTCATATGGGGAAATTAGATTCACTTAACGTACAGAATTGAGGAACTACAGCGAATTATTGTCAGTGTCCACATTTCAAGTTATAACATGGGTTTTTATGGGGAAATTAGATTCATTCACTTAAAAAAAATGAAATTACAGAACATTATCATCCAAGTCTGCTTCACGACTGTTACTCACAATATTCTCGACTCTCCGGGGTCGAAACGTTCGCTCTTCTCCCAGACCTTCTGCAGCAGCGACCTCTCCTCCGAAGACACTGAGGCTGCCGCTGGGGCCCCCACCACTCCTGCTGAAGACGACGACGATGACGACGACACGGAACCCTCGGCGTGCACGGCAGGTGCAGGCCTAGTCGGCGACAGCTTCGTCACTGAAAAGGTGCAACGGCAAATGGTACTAGAATTTTTCCTAGAATGAAAATGCTCTAGAACTCAAAGGTAACTGGAATGAGAATGATTCCTAGAAAAAGAATACATTTCTAGGACTCAAGGGTAGCTGGAATGAGAATGTTTTCTAGAATAGGAATGTTCTAGGACTCGCAGTCACTATTGTAACTATAATTAGAATGTTATAAAGTACATCACAATAAAGAAAACAATTAACAATTTGGATGGAGAACTACAGACACCCAATTTTGACGGTTTAATGAAATTGAGGTGTTCTTCGCCTCTGGAATAGGGATTATGATCGCTCTTTGCCAGTCAACTAAGAATATGTTAGATGTAACTGGAACAGGGAAAGCAACTATTCTTTGTCAGTTATCAAAGAATATTCCTAGCAATTGGAATAGGGAAATAAAATGATCTAATTTACTGTTACTACCATAGAATTACTCCTTGCAGTTGATATTGGAATTAAGGTTACTGTTTGTTGCCAAAATCGCAAAATTTGTTGACAGGGAAATTGGTCCAGGCGCTTTCTCATGATTAAAAGAGGAATGTCAATATGCTGTTGTTAAAAATAGGAGGGACCAAAAAAATACACTGCAGAACATGCTTTTGTCGGGACAATTTTTCGCTCTACAGATGGCGAAATGTTCCCCGTTCCTGCTACATTTTATTCGTAGTGTCCCATTAGAATGAAGTGAACTAAGAGTGCTGATGGATGAGGAATGAGAAAACAGTGCAACAGTTTTCTTACAAATGGAAGGATTGTCGCTGGGAAATGAATACAGGACATTCCGAGAGATTAGCTGGAAATGAGGACTGGTGGAAATACTTTCATCTCCGTCAGTTCGTTGGGAACCGTGAGGGTTAAATTTCCCTTTAAGGAAGTGAAAAAAATCACGCACACACACACACACACACACACACACACACACACACACACACACATACACACACACAACACACACACACACACACACACACACACACACACACACACACAGGAAAAAGAAGAAGACAAATATGCACAAAAATAATTGTTTATTGACAGTGTATATTTCTGCTCTGAGACTCACTCTTTCCTTTCTTCCTCACCCTCTCTCACCCTCTCTCTTCCACTCTTCTTACCTTCCCCTGTCCTACCTTTCTCCCTATGCCCCCTTCATCCATACGTTTCCCTTGCCTCAGTCCCCCCTCCCACTTCATCCAGTCTAGCACAATAGACAGCATTGATTTTGTACACAGACTCTCACGCCTGAGAACTCTCTCGTCCATTGGCCGTCCTCTGTGTGTGTGTGTGTGTGTGTGTGTGTGTGTGTGTGTGTGTGTGTGTGTGTGTGTGTGTGTTTGTGTGTGTGTGTCTGCGTGTGAGAGTATACAGTGAATTATATTACTGTGCTGTAATCCTCTTAGTGACCTTTTCTATGCCAGCAACGTGGTAGAGTGTGTGTGTGGAGGTTAGGGAAGCCATCTGACATACTATGTTGTTCTTATCTCTTCAGGCAGTGTTTTCCAGCTGATGACCATGGAATAGTTGTGGCTTTATCATTTGTTCTCATATTTTCTTGCTCTCTCTCTCTCTCTCTCTCTCTCTCTCTCTCTCTCTCTCTCTCTCTCTCTCTCTCTCTCTCTCTCTTTTTTTTTTTTTTTTTTTTTTTTTTTTTTTTTTTTTTTTTTACACATGGTTTGACAAGGTTAAGGATCCCTAGCTTTATTGACAAGCTATTTACAGGTTAAGGATTCCTAACTTTATTGACAAGCTAAGAGCTGTTACCTACATCAGCTCATTTGAAAGCATTTTTATTGTTATGAGACATACAAGTAGGGAACAGGATGAAGTTGGAGCCATCTGTGGGCCAGCATTTTCATTTGATCAACTGACGTTATCTCGTTGACATCATTATGCTGAACGAATGTGTTCCATACTCGAGTCATCCTGGGTATGTATGATCTCAGATGGAGTGATGTTCTGGAGAAGGGTACAGCCAGAGTGAAGTTGCTGCTTTCTGCCCGTCTTGTGGCATAAAAGCTTGTTTCGCGCTGTCCTCGAAGTGGATCCAAGTGTGGTATTTTGACAATATTGGCCTTGTACATAACAGTAAGGCCACCCACATCCCTCCTATGTTGAAGGCTCTGCTGAAATGACAGATCCATCCAGGATGGGTCCAGGCGAGAGATGAGACGTCTTGCTCTGTTCTCTACTCTGTCAAGCAGTCGCAGATGAGAGGGGGGACAGGCAAACCAAGAAAGTGGAGCATACTCAAGGTGTGAGCGTACTTGTGCCTCGTACAGTATCTTGCAACCCCTACTGTCAAGCAGATGCGAGATACGGCGAAGTGCTGTAAGCTTCCTGGCTGCCTTGTTTGCAAGATTTACAACATGGTTCTTCATGGTTAGTTTGGAGTCAAATTTCACCCCAAGGATATCAACTTCTTCTCCAGGTGCCAACATCCTCCCATTCTCTCTCTCTCTCTCTCTCTCTCTCTCTCTCTCTCTCTCTCTCTCTCTCTCTCTTCTCTCTCTCTCTCTCTCTCTCTCTCTCTCTCTCTCTCTCTCTCTCTCTCTCTCTTCTCTCTCTCTCTCTTTCATCATCATCATCTAATTACTCTCTCCTTCTCAATATCTGTTTTTCGCCAAACAGTCTGCCAAACTAACTGCCAAGACAAATACACGTAAAAACACGAGAGAGAGAGAGAGAGAAAGAGAGAGAGACAGAGAGACAGAGAGAGAGAGAGAGAGAGAGAGAGAGAGAGAGAGAGAGAGAGAGAGAGAGAGAGAGGAGAGAGAGAGAGAGAGAGAGAGAGAGAGAGAGAGAGAGAGAGAGAGAGAACATTAATCGAGAAAAAACATATTAAACAAATAAACTCCCACTAAAGAACACACAACAAATAATAAAAATTCATTAAAAAAACCAACACACACACAAAAGCACCATATATAAACTACATACATTAAAATGTGTAACAAATACACTAGCCACACACACACACACAGTCACATACACACATACACACGCACACAAAGGGGCCAGAAACTGTGACTCAACTCACGCAACCACACATAAAGGCGAGTAGTATACATACACAAAATCTAATTCCAAACACAATTTAAACACGCGTAAAAATAATTCAGTCACATATAAACACGTGTTAACACTTTCCGGTTACTAACAAACACACACAAAAGTGTTAAAATCTATTCACTTATAAACAAACACGTGTAAAATACCATCCAACGATATAAAAACACCTGTAGAAACCAGCGAGCTATACACAGAGAGACACAGAGACACTGACACACAGAGACACAGACACATTGACACACAGAGACACAGACACATTGACACACAGAGACACAGACACATTGACACACAGAGACACAGATACACTGACACACAGAGACACAGACACACAGACACACAGAGACACAGACACACAGACACACAGAGACACAGATACACTGACACACAGAGACACAGACACACTGACACACAGAGACACAGATACACTGACACACAGAGACACAGACACACTGACACACAGAGACACAGATACACTGACACACAGAGACACAGACACACAGACACACAGAGACACAGACACACAGACACACAGAGACACAGATACACTGATACACAGATACACAGACACACTGACACACAGAGACACAGATACACTGACACACAGAGACACAGATACACTGACACACAGAGACACAGACACACTGACACACAGAGACACAGACACATTGACACACAGAAACACAGACACACAGACACACAGAGACACTGACACACAGACACACAGAGACACAGATACACTGACACACAGAGACACAGACACACTGACACACAGAGACAGACGCACTGACACACAGAGACACAGACACACTGACACACAGAGACACAGACACATTGACACACAGAGACACAGACACATTGACACACAGAGACACAGACACACAGACACACAGAGACACAGATACACTGACACACAGAGACACAGACACACTGACACACTGACACACAGACACACAGACACACAGACACACAGACACACAGACACACAGACACACAGACACACTGACACACAGAGACACAGACACACAGAGACACAGACACACTGACACACAGAGACACAGACACACTGACACACAGACACACAGACACACAGAGACACAGATACTGACACACAGACACACAGACACACAGACACACTGACACAAGAGACACAGACACACTGACACACAGACACACACAGACACAGACACACTGACACACAGACACACAGACACACAGACACACAGACACACAGACACACTGACACACAGACACACAGACACACAGACACACAGACACACTGACATACAGACACACAGACACACAGACACACAGACACACAGACACACTGACATACAGACACACAGACACACTGACATACAGACACACAGATACACAGACACACAGACACATGACATACAGACACACAGACACACTGACATACAGACACACATACACACTGACATACAGACACACTGACACACTGACACACAGACACACAGACACACAGACAACAGACACACAGACACACTGACACACAGACACACAGACACACAGACACACAGACACACTGACATACAGACACACAGTCACACTGACATACAGACACACAGATACACAGACACACAGACACACTGACATACAGACACACAGACACACTGACATACAGACACACAGACACACTGACATACAGACACACTGACACACTGACACACAGACACACAGACACACAGACACACAGACACACAGACACACTGACACACAGACACACAGACACACAGACACACTGACATACAGACGCACAGACACACTGAAATACAGACACACAGAGACACTGACATACAGACACACAGACACTGACATACAGACACACTGACACACAGACACACAGACACACAGACACACAGACACACTGACACACAGACACACAGATACACAGACACACTGACATACAGACACACACACACATTGACATACAGACACACAGACACACTGACACACTGACATACAGACACACTGACATACAGACACACAGACACACAGACACACAGACACACTGACATACAGACACAGACAAACAGAATCACAGACACACTGACACACAGACACACAGACACACAGACACACTGACACACAGACACACAGACACACAGACACAAAGACACACAGACACACAGAGGAACTCACAAGCTCCATCACTTCCCGTGTTGGTGTTTTTTTTGTTGCTGTTGTTGATGAATTTATGTTCTGGTTTCCTACGTGTTTCCCGCAGGAACACGACTTTACTTGAAGAAAAAGTGTGTGTGTGTGTGTGTGTGTGTGTGTATGTTGAAGTTATGTTACTTCTGTGTTACCATTCAAGCGCTGGATCGAAATGTTGTACCACCGATAATATTAAGGAAAAAACAATATTTAATTAGCACGTTTTGCCCTGTGTAGCCCTTTAACAAGTCATCTTCAGAGCGAAATGTTGTCCTTATAAAAACTTGTTTTTCAACATGTTTCTTCTATTCAACATTCTCGTCCATTTTCTTCCCTGTGTGTATGTATCACGTCCTATGAGTATCTTGTATGTCGTGATTATGTCCCCCATCCTCCCGTTCCTTCCGTCCTTCTTGTGAGGAAAAGTCAAGTTTAAGCAGTCTGTTATCGGGGAGATGTTGTTTTCTGTTACAGGTACTAGTTAGGTTGTTGTTCTATTGCCCTTCTTGTTGATACTTTTCTTAGGATAGAGAAGGTCCCATAAGATAAGTTCCTCGTGAAACCACCTAAGAAATGAAGCCAAGGGCTGAGACTCAACTCCCCAAACACACAAACACACAGACACACACACAGAGGAAGAGGGACCTAGTAGCGGCCAGTGAAGAGGCGGAGCCAGCAGCTGCGACTCGACCCTTGCAACCACAGCTAGGTTAGTACACACACACACACACCTTGTGCTATCAATCCTCTCCCCGTCTTGACTTCAGCCTTTCACTCAATCGTTTCCCTCATCTATCATTTATAAGATATGTCTTAGTCCGGCTCTTTCATCTCTGCCGAGCAACACTGCACAAGCCTGAGTGCCCTCAGACATACCGCCCAAGTCTTAATGACTATCTAAATTCCTCGTCAGACTTGCACACGCGTGAGTACCTTTGGGTATAACACACACAAGTCTAAATATCTATCCATGTGCATTATCCACAAGTTTATCAGTGATGAAATCTGCCGATAAAGTATGTTAACGAGATAAAGTGTGCGGCTTGTGGCATTGTGTTGAGAATAAACATTATTATAATGCCCTAAACCGCACCTTGAGTTCAATTAACATATCATTTGCATAATTGGTAAGTGATCCTCAGTGACAAACGTTATCCTGCCTCAAATTTTTTTCGGTTTCACCTGTTCACAGTTTTCTTGCGCACAGCTATGATTTTGACTCACATATCAATAATTCTGTCCCACTTATCAATAATTATGCCCTACTTATCAATAATTCTGTCCCACTTATCAATAATTATGCCCTACTTATCAATAATTCTGTCCCACTTATCAATAATTCTGTCCCACTTATCAATAATTCTGTCCCACCTATCAGTAATTCTGCCCACTTATCAGTAATTCTGCCCCATTTATCAATAATTTTGTCCCACTTATCAATAATTCTGCCCCACTTATCAATAATTCTGCCCCACTTATCAGTAATTCTGCCTCACTTATCCAGCGATTGGTGGAATGATGATGTAAAGAGAGTAGTAAGGGAGAAAAAGTTAGCATATGAGAAGTTTTTACAAAGTAGAAGTGATGCAAGGAGGGAAGAATATATGGAGAAAAAGAGAGAGGTTAAGAGAGTGGTGAAGCAATGTAAAAAGAGAGCAAATGAGAGAGTGGGTGAGATGTTATCAACAAATTTTGTTGAAAATAAGAAAAAGTTTTGGAGTGAGATTAACAAGTTAAGGAAGCCTAGAGAACAAATGGATTTGTCAGTTAAAAATAGGAGAGGAGAGTTATTAAATGGAGAGTTAGAGGTATTGGGAAGATGGAGGGAATATTTTGAGGAATTGTTAAATGCTGATGAAGATAGGGAAGCTGTGATTTCGTGTATAGGGCAAGGAGGAATAACATCTTGTAGGAGTGAGGAAGAGCCAGTTGTGAGTGTGGGGGAAGTTCGTGAGGCAGTAGGTAAAATGAAAGGGAGTAAGGCAGCCGGGATTGATGGGATAAAGATAGAAATGTTAAAAGCAGGTGGGGATATAGTTTTGGAGTGGTTGGTGCAATTATTTAATAAATGTATGGAAGAGGGTAAGGTACCTAGGGATTGGCAGAGAGCATGCATAGTTCCTTTGTATAAAGGCAAAGGGGACAGAAGAGAGTGCAAAAATTATAGGGGGATAAGTCTGTTGAGTATACCTGGTAAAGTGTATGGTAGAGTTATTATTGAAAGAATTAAAAGTAAGACTGAGAATAGGATAGCAGATGAACAAGGAGGCTTTAGGAAAGGTAGGGGGTGTGTGGACCAGGTGTTTACAGTGAAACATATAAGTGAACAGTATTTAGATAAGGCTAAAGAGGTCTTTGTGGCACTTATGGATTTGGAAAAGGCGTATGACAGGGTGGATAGGGGGGCAATGTGGCAGATGTTGCAGGTGTATGGTGTAGGAGGTAGGTTACTGAAAGCAGTGAAGAGTTTTTACGAGGATAGTGAGGCTCAATTTAGAGTACATAGGAAAGAGGGAAATTATTTCCCAGTAAAAGTAGGCCTAAGACAAGGATGTGTGATGTCACCGTGGTTGTTTAATATATTTATAGATGGGGTTGTAAGAGAAGTAAATGCGAGGGTCTTGACAAGAGGCGTGGAGTTAAAAGATAAAGAATCACATATAAAGTGGGATTTGTCACAGTTGCTCTTTGCTGATGACACTGTGCTCTTGGGAGATTCTGAAGAGAAGTTGCAGAGATTGGTGGATGAATTTGGTAGGGTGTGCAAAAGAAGAAAATTAAAAGTGAATACAGGAAAGAGTAAGGTTATGAGGATAACAAAAATATTAGGTGATGAAAGATTGGATATCAGATTGGAGGGAGAGAGTATGGAGGAGGTGAATGTATTCAGATATTTGGGAGTGGACGTGTCAGCGGATGGGTCTATGAAGGATGAGGTGAATCAAAGAATTGATGAGGGGAAAAGGGTGAGTGGTGCACTTAGGAGTCTGTGGAGACAAAGAACTTTGTCCTTGGAGGCAAAGAGGGGAATGTATGAGAGTATAGTTTTACCAACACTCTTATATGGATGTGAAGCATGGGTGATGAATGTTGCAGCGAGGAGAAGGCTGGAGGCAGTGGAGATGTCATGTCTGAGAGCAACGTGTGGTGTGAATATAATGCAGAGAATTCGTAGTTTGGAAGTTAGGAGGAGGTGCGGGATTACCAAAACTGCTGTCCAGAGGGCTGAGGAAGGGTTGTTGAGGTGGTTCGGACATGTAGAGAGAATGGAGCGAAACAGAATGACTTCAAGAGTGTATCAGTCTGTAGTGGAAGGAAGGCGGGGTAGGGGTCGGCCTAGGAAAGGTTGGAGGGAGGGGGTAAAGGAGGTTTTGTGTGCGAGGGGCTTGGACTTCCAGCAGGCAGGCGTGCGTGAGCGTGTTTGATAGGAGTGAATGGAGACGAATGGTTTTTAATACTTGACGTGCTGTTGGAGTGTGAGCAAAGTAACATTTATGAAGGGGTTCAGGGAAACCGGCAGGCCGGACTTGAGTTCTGGAGATGGGAAGTACAGTGCCTGCACTCTGAAGGAGGGGTGTTAATGTTGCAGTTTAAAAACTGTAGTGTAAAGCACCCTTCTGGCAAGACAGTGATGGAGTGAATGATGGTGAAAGTTTTTCTTTTTCGGGCCACCCTGCCTTGGTGGGAATCGGCCAGTGTGATAAAAAAAATAAAAAATCTATAAATCTGTCTCACGTATTCATAATTCTGCCTCGCACATAAAAAATATCTTCCCCACATATCTGTAATTCCTCTCCCACATATCAAAAATTCTGTGCCTCATTTATAAGTGACTTCCTCTCACATACAATCACGTGGATCATAGAGATGAAGGTACACCTTAAAATTAAGCAGGGCGATGCCCGTGTCTCACCTGTGCCGTGGATGCCCGAGGTGAGGGTATGCCTGAGCTTGGAGAGTGCCGTGCCAGTGGTCTCTGTGCCTTCGTGCCTCGTACCCCCTCCCCCTCCCCCCAGACCACCTCCACTCCCCTCCGACGCCACCATCTGAGGAAGGGAATAAATATCAGAAGAATTGTTAGTGGTTAGTTAACAAAACAACAATAATAATAATATAATAATAATATATATTAATAATAAAGTAATAATAATAATAATAATAATAATAAATAATTATATTATTATCATTAGTAAATGTGACTTTTTTAATATTGTGAATATTATTATAAAATAATAATAATAATAATAATAATAATAATAATAATAATATTATTATTATTATTATTATTTTTAATAATAACAAAAATAATAATTACATTATTATTATTATTATTATTATTATTAAAATGTGACTTTTTCTAAATATTGTATAATCTGGCCAAGGAACATAAATGCTCCACATAGCAATTAGACCAAATGGTAAGACAGGATCCCAAATAGCTGAACAGAAAATTAAAGCATCTCACCGGGGAAGAAGAGAGTAAATTACAGGCGGATTAGGAGAGGAGAAAGTCACCTTACGGACCAACATATTAATATTGAAAGAGAGAACTCACGAAAAAAAAGAGACGAGAAGCTTAGCGAAACTAGAAAATTAAAGAGGCAAGGGAATAAAAAATATTAAAAGCTGGCAGGTTAGTCCATTTTTGAGGTAAACTAAAACCTATGGAATATAATTTTAGTGTTAGTTTGGAATATCCTGAAAATACTTTAATAAAAATTAAAATTTCTTGAAAATACTTTTTAAGAAAGTTTGAATTTCCCAAAAATACTTTAAAAAAATGAAATATTCTGAAAATAATTTAAAAAAAATGGGAAATTTCTTGAAAATACTTTTTAAAAAATTGGAATTTCCTGAAAATACTAAAAAAAAAAGGAATGGCTTGAAAATACTTGAAAAACATAAAAATAAATTATTGGGTTCATCGAAAATTAAGACAGGAAAATTTACTGATAACAATACAAACATCTATACAATTATTTCCTTCTTCGCACAAGACACAAAGGGAATTAAATAAATACTGTATCATAATGTCTGGAGGCGAGTCAACCAATTTAAAAATATAATAAAATAGTTATAATTATAACCCTAATTTTTAATAACGTGGACGGGTATGCCAGTAGAAGGCCTCGGTCAGATGACCAAAAGCTCCAGCTATGGGTCAACACATGACCCGCGTCAGGAAACACTTGTCATGTTTCCTGACAAACCTAATGCCTACCTAGACCAATTAAATGACCATTGTAAATGACCTCTCAGATTCTTCCACTGTCTTCAGAATAATAATGAACACTGTACTGATGATTATAACGTGTGCAAGAACTGGGTGTCTTCATTGTTAAAACATATCGCCTATACAGTAGGCTTTTTCTCTGAGGAAGTCTACTGTGTAGGTGTAACGTTTCAACAATACAGATACCCAATTATTATACTTAATTGATCATCACATTGTCGATATTTTATTTATGCCATTATCAACACTGCTGTATTAGTCTTAACACGCCTCCTGCGCAGGCGAAACGTTTCGTAAGTAAAGATACTTAGGTTTTGCACAAGTGTTTTATTGAGACGCTTCAATAGTGTGGAAAATGCATGAAAACCTTTTGCTTTGTTTACATGTAGAGGGAAAATCTTGAATCTGAGCGGCTGCTTTTGGTACAATATAAAATGGTTATAACTAGGAACATAATTTTTAAAGGGGTGGCCTGGTAAGCCAGCGGAAGGCCTCGATCAGATGACCAGAAGCTCAATCGGCGGGTCATCATCTAAGGCCAGCGTCAGGAAACACTTGTCGTGTTTCCTGACGCACCTAACCTAGCTCTTGTACCCAACTTGTGACTGAGGGGAACTTTCTGCTGCTAGCAGCCTAGTTATTTATGCCATACCTCGATCCTTCAAAAATACGTTTTGCCCTGTGATAAATAAGACATAAGTGCAAAACTTGGCTTTGAAGAACTTCATAGCTCTAATAATATTATCTGCTACTACTCAAAATAATAATAATAATAATAATAATAATAATAATAATAATAATAATAATAATAATAATAATAATAATAATAATAAAGATACATATTTCGGACAATTTGAGGAAATGGTACATGTGCCAACCCTTGACACATTTATTTAGGAAACGTTTCGGTCGTGGGACCTCGTTTACTCTCAAGGACTGAACGAGACACTCCTTAGGAGTGACCAAGGTCTCAGGACCGAAACGTTTCCGAGCGAAAGTGTTAAGTTGAAAAAAACGATAGTAAGTGGAGCCCGGGTTCGACACAGCTGAGCTGCGTCGTCTGCACCACACGATGGTAAACATTGCAACCGTATTGCTACCCTATTAACATTGTACTTATATGGTTTTATAACTCGCATTAATACAAATTAGGTCAAAATGCTTGTGCGTTATGTTAGAGGCAGATCAAACAATTGAGGTGAACAATAATGGGCTTATGAAATCGAAGGGGATTTTGCTGGGGGAGGAGGACAGGTGAGGTGACTCAGCGGCGGCCATTTCACCTCAGGTGATTGTTTTGTTAAGACGTATTAGTGTTTTAATGGCGTTAAAACGTGTGTGACAAGTGTTTTAGTGGCGTTAAGACATGTGGGTGTGTTTCAACATCTTGAGGGAATAAAAAAGAATTTAGGTAACTATATAGTCTCGCTTAAATGGCGAGATTATGAGGAAAATTTTTCTGTTTTTGACTCTGTACTCTTGATGAGTCCGCGTAAAATGTAGATTTTATGATTTGTTTTATCTAACTGGCCCCACAAGGAAGGTTCCTTGATGTTGGTGAGGGGCTCTTGATTTAGGGAATTGGATCTGTGCTCCAGTTCCCCAAATTAAGCCTGAATGCCTTCCACATCCCCCCCCAGGCGCTGTATAATCCTCCGGGTTTAGCGCTTCCCCCTTGATTATAATAATAATAATAATTTATCTAACTGGTTTTCCACGTTGACAGCGACTCCCTCCTTTTGCCCTTTTGAATCGATGGATTATCCATACAGATTTAACTCGTGGGGATATATTAATGTTGCTGTGGTATTTTTGTGCCTTGGATCAAAATAACACCGCTATCTATCATGCAATATCCATAATTTTAGCAAATGTAATACATATAAATCTCGAAACACATGTGGTGATAATTCTGGTAAACAGTCTGATTGTTTATAGCTTTCTAATCATAGCGGATTTTTTTAGTCTGCAACACAACTGCCCTGCATGCACGAATTTAAAAAAAAATCAGAGTATGACATATAATGTCATGATTTTTGGTTACGAAATATTGTTTGCTGTACTAAATATTTTACAGGAAGTTCACCCAATGTTTGACATCCTTTCCTCTCATTTTTCAGGTGATCTCTTTAAACTGTTATCTTATTTATGTAGCAAAGCCTTCATTATTATAGTTTCGTTTACGAGAAAACATGAGATTATTTTCTAGCTAGGCTATTGGATATTTTTTTCCATCTCTATCGCTGATGGTGGCTTGTTTTTATTTTATATATTATAAATTATGCATTATATGACTGAAGTCCTTTCACATTCAGATGCTGAATAATTCCAAGGTTCATGTGCTTTCTAAATATTAAAAAAGAATGCTAAGATAGTGAAGAAACATTGAGGGGAGTGTAATGTTTCAGGAAGGGTGTTGACTGGCCTGTCTGGCCGGGACACACACTACCAGTCACACATGTCAGCCTCTCCACTACAGTGTCTTGGTTTCCACAGTGACAAGGTAAATAACTTACAACGTGTTACTTCATTAGCAACAGTTAGGTATGGGTGTTTATTTTTTAAGAAATTATGAAACCACGGAACGGGTTGGGTTTGAACTCATGCCGAGTGAGAAATTATAAATGCAGTGTTATGAATGGTGAACATATATCGGCTTTATATGTAGGTTTGCATGTAATGGCAAGTTAATCCATTTTTTCCCCTTTTACCTTTCCAGGTAAGTCTGACTTTCGCAGCTCTTCGTGGGACAACCTACAAGCAGAATATTCGGTATGTATGTTCTCTTATTTTTCATTCTAGATGAGGTGAACCTAGATCGATTATATCCTAGACGAAGCCTTGTCCCATGGGTATCTCAACCTATGCCCATCATCTCCCTGCCCTGCACTCAACTTCATACCTTGCCTATACACCACCGTAATTGAATTTCGCAGTATCTGGGATATTTTGGGGTATAAAATATACATACCTTCCTAGTGTCACTTCGACCTACGTGAACCTGCATCAGGATATGATAGTGAGTTAAACTACGTATAAATGTACATTTTCTCTGAATATTGAGTAAAAAGAACGTAATAGTTAATGATTAGTGCAACAGAGTTAGTTGAAGTAAAGTATTTTTAACCAACATGTTTATACCTGATTATTTCATGTAATTATTCAAATCAAACATTTGTCACTTTTTTGTGTATAGATGCAGCTGAATGTACATTTAATTGTTTATTTTTATATTAACGCAAATATCCACTACCCTTTTATCGTTGTCTTTTAAATGGTTATCTGTCTATTTTTTTTGTCGCATGGACGCTGATAATATTACAGTGGATGCTGCCTCTCGCTCACATTACTCCAGTTATTAACTGGAGAGCTGTAAGACCTGTAAATTTGTGAAACTTTCCACGTAAATAATTAAGTCAATTGTAAGGACACCTTCCATAATAGGTAAGACCAAGGACAAACTCTCACCTAGTTTCCCTCAAGGGAGGTTCTTGACGTTGGGGAGGCGCTCTTGATCACTGGAAGTGGAGCCGACATCTTTTTTTGTCTTGAACTTGAATGGTTCCCATTCCTTCAGGTGCTATGTGACCCCTATGGGTTTAGCGTTATCCCTTTCTCGCCCTCCCATGAGTGAAATAAATATCAAGCAAGCTAGGAGACTAGCCCTCCCTGTCAGTAAGCTGTGGCTGTGCAACAGTGGACACGACTAAGCCATGGTAAACTCTGGCTGTAAATGGATGCAAACATCAACCTTAGTTGGAAACAAGGTGCGTCCTGATATCGTCACTTTGCGATTTGATTGTTGACAGTAATGAAATTACAACTTCCCTTTTCGAATCTTGTCTGAGTGAAGCGTCCTCTCTCAATCGGCCACTCATTATTGGCCTATTTTTAGGCTTCCCACTTTCATACTAGCAGTAATGTTGATCTCTTTTAGTCTCACCTTAAGTTTCATGAAATAGCACATGTTATGGCATTCTGCGATTGCTTTCAGTACTGGAGAAAGAGCTTGACTAAAACATTGGCTGGTAGAGAGAAGATTAGTCTTTATTCCCGTCGAACCACACATTCGTTTAATGTTATAAAATGACAGCTCTATGTTGTGGGTTGGCACCCTTCAGGCTTACGTGGAAGGTTCTTCCTTGTCTTCCTTCGATGTTACTCGACAGTCAGTGATTATCCATGGTTTTTCCCATTGCTTTAGTGTGGTCAACTAGCGTCTGTCCTTACTAATCCCTCCCCATTCAGTTATGTCGAAAGAAAGACTCGCTTCCTAAAGATTATTTGTACGTAACTTAGCGCCTGCATTTAACTTTGCTTATGGCAGGTGTCTTGCCTACTATAAGCTCATTTTCACTCATTCTTTGTAAAGTATACTGAAGAGGGTATTATCAGCCGAAAACATGCGGTACTCCTCGAATCTTCTATATATTTTCTACTCCTAACCTTTTTTGTAATGATGTGATTCAATTGAGCTTAACCCTGCTAAACTTATTAATGATGTTAATTAATTAAATATCAAGGATTTTGATAAATTAAATATCAGTGATGTTAATAAATTAAATATCAGTGATGTTAATAAATTAAATATCAGTGATGTTAATAAATTAAATATAAATGACGTTAATAATAAATCTAAACTGTTCCAAGAGGATATTATAATCATGGGGAGCGTTAAACCCGTAGGATTATACAGCACCTGTAGGGGGAAGGGGGATGGAAGGTATTCAGGGAACTGGAGTACAGATCCAATTCCATGGATCAAGAGCCCTCACCAGGGTCAAAGAACCTCCCGCTAGTCCCTTCAAGGGAGGTTCCTAGACGCTGTTGAAGGGCTCTTGATCTAGGATATTGGATCTGCTCCAGTTCCCAGAATTGAGCCTGAATACCTTCCATCCCTCCTACAGGCGCTGTATAATCCTACGGGTTTAGCGCACCCCATCATTATAATAATATTTTATGTCAGTTTAGATTTATTATTAACGTCATTAATATTTAATTAATTGCACACAAATTTTCACTCTGTTTAAACGTCCTAATTTTTAAGCAGAGTTCACAGATTTGTCTTTTTCAGCATGTGTATGTCAGTTGTTTATAAATGCATATTTTTTTATATGAATACATCTACACCGATTATAATTACTGCGTTTGGAATGATGGCTCGTCTGAAAAGATAATAATGCTCTGGTAATTTTGCGTCATGACTTGCTGCAACGAAAGTCTTTGAAGCTACCTAAGTGCCTGAGACATAGAATGTTGGAGGATATTTATTTCGCCTTACTGAAGCCTCGCATGTGCACCTCTGGTAGCTCTGTCAGACTCACAGGATTGTAGAAAAAAAAATCACAGGATTGTAGAAAATTTTAGAACAGAACATTACTAGGAAAAGGTGAAAAGAATGTGCATTTTTTTATATTTTGGAATTTGACGAATTTATAATAATTCTCACCACAGAAATATATTTGAAATACAGCATAGCTATTTAAGTTGTTCTCGTTTTATCACTGAATTATTTGATAACAGAAATATTTCAAGCTCTGTTAGTCAACAAACCCTGGTTAGTGTACCGTGTCACCTGGCAGTATGTATTTCCCGAGTGTTTATTAATAACTTAAATTTATAAATGGTATATAATACCGGCAAGATGATGAATAAGACATGTCCAACAACTGGGTATCTTTATTTTGTAGACGTTTCGCCAACCAGTGGCTTTGCTAATACTGTACAATATTAGGACATAACGGAAGACTGTGAAAGTGGAGATAACCGTCTCTCAGCCTACCAGCAGGTGTTCAGCACCACAGCCCCGTATCTCAACGAGATTGTGCTGTACAGCAAAAGCTTAGTCCCCGGTAATTCCTGCTCTGTCTCGTTATCTTTTTCTTTTACACAAAAGCACTTTGCATGTTTTCTGCCAGTCCTGAGATACATCTTTCATACATGTATTAAATGAATGCAACAATTACAACCAAACTATATCACCACCTGCTTTTACCATCTCTCTTAATTCAGAGTATCCTAGCTTTTACTCACTTTCATTTTGCCCACTGCCTCGCTCATTTTCCCAACATTATTACTCATGCAGATAATATTCATCCTTCTACAATACATGATATCAACTTCTCCCTTTCATCATTAATATTTAACAAGTTTAAATATTCTCTTCATCTTTCCACTGCCTTCCCCTCTCCTCCTGACATCTCTCCTCTTGCATTTTTGACTACATCAATCAGCTCTAGAGGTTTTCCCGACTCATTAATCTATACAAACTACTTAAGATTCTTAAGTGATTAAGACATGTATGTAACAGTTGGGTATGAAGAATTAGACACATGTGCAACATCTGGCTATCTTTATTGTAGACATTTCGCCATCCAGTGGCTTTATCAATACAAATTCAAGACTGAGGAACTGATTGCATCGTTGTGCAATGATAAAGTCCCTAGATGGCGGAACATGTACAATAAAAATACGCAGATGTACATGTGTCTAATTCTCCATCTTGTCGGTACTATATACCATACATAGAACGTTTCGCCTACACGGTAGGCTTCTTCGGTCAAATACAGAGTTTGTATTACAGGCAACAAAAGTGACGTTTCAAAAATAAAGATATGCAACTGTTGCATGTGTCTTATTCATTAACTTGTCGGTATTTTGTACCATTTTCAACATTCGTATCCTTGGCAAAATTTGCTGATTACTCGCCCATTCTCTTAGTGGTTCTTCTCTTGCATACACCATTCGTTTTATCTGCAACTTACCATTTACCAGTGAAAAAACCTACCATATGCTAATCTTTGCTTTAAAATCATAAGAAGGAGCACTGCTGCGGTCTTTCCTGCTCTCACCCGCACCACCCCTTTATAATCTCAGACATTTAGCTCTGGAACACTGTATTCTTAAGTCTTCCACTATAATTCATTTTATTATTTCATAAAAAAGTACGATTTCTCAGTTAAAATAATGACGAGCTACATAATAGTTAAAACACAGAAACGTAATGCAGCGAGACGATAATTTTTCTTAAGATTCAATAATGTCAAAAGAAACAGCAAAAAATCCAAAATTAATCTGTCATTAAGAGAGAATAGCTCCTAATTTCTTGGAATTAGGAGCTGTTCTCTCTCTCACACACACTGTATCAGTGTATGACTCCCTCATAGGGGTCATACACTGCCTGGGAAAAGAGAAAATAAAATTGGATATGGAGGAAGGGTTGTTGCACATGTCCAGTTGCTTGTACCGAGAGACCCTCACAAGCATGAAGACACCCATCCCCTGAGGGGATTCTCTGATGAAATAAATGACTGTCATGTGATTTTCATCAAAGGTTTTGACAGAGGGGAATCTTCCCTGGATGTGAGAGGAGAACACTGTGCAGGTAGCAGGTAATAATAGTCAAGAAAAAGAGAGCGAAGAATAATAAAGGGCAGACACAAGTATCGAAAAATGAGAAGCCGATAAGAAAGGGCGTGACGCTAGTACAAGAAACGAAAAAATCTATATGAAAATACAATACAGAGAAGACGAAATGTACTAGAAAAGAGTAGAGAGGAAGAGCAGTTAGACGAAAGTCTACAAGGAAAATTCTAAGACAATATCATTGAATTATTATTCGTCTGTGTAACCTCTGACAATACAACCTTTTCTTCCAACAACCAAGGTAAAAAAAAAAAGGTCAAAAAGTTTTAAATGAAAGCAATCTATTAAATGAATAACTTAAAGGAACGAAGTAGACAGGTGTAAAGAATTACTTAATTAAAACTGAGTGAGTAGAGTAATTGCCAGAAGGCGAGAGAGGCGGTGAAAAATGTTTCATATTCCATGTGTCAGAAAAGAAGATTGCATCCTTTCGTTCGTATCAGCTCAAAGATAATGAAAACCTTTTTGGATTTCCTTAGTCTTTCCAGAATATATATATATATATATATATATATATATATATATATATATATATATATATATATATATATATATATATATATATATATATATATATATATAGTAGTAGTAGTAATAGTACACAGTAAAAGAACCCACATGGAAAAAATGTACAGAAGGCATGAGGAGTGGTATATGTTTTTATCTCATTCTGAGACTTTGTTCAGCTGTCGTACATGGTACGAGGCACCTTATATACAAGGACACCAGACCTATGTCAGCTTAGGTACAGGAGGTGACGATGGTCCAAGAGATAACGATACTACAGAGCTGACGATGATACAGGAGCTAACGATACTACAGGAGCTGATGATGGTACAGGAGCTAACGATACTACAGGAGCCGACGATGGTACAGGAGCTAACGATACTACAGGAGCTGATGATGGTACAGGAGCTAACGATACTACAGGAGCCGACGATGGTAAAGGAGCTAACGATACTATAGGAGCTGACGGTGGTACAGGAGGTAACGATACTACAGAAGCTGACGATGATTCAGGAGCTAACGATACTACAGGAGCTAACGATGGTACAGGAGCTAACGATACTGCAGGAGCTGACGATGGTACAGGCGCAAACGATAGTACGGGAGCTAACGATGGTACAGGAGCTAATAATGGTGCAGACACAAATGATAATACAGGGGCAAACGATGGTACAGGCGCAAACGATGGTACAGGAGCTAACGATGGTACAGGAACTAACGATGGTACAGGAACTAACGATGATACAACTCTTGTTGTTTAGCAAGACAACAAGTGTAGCCCCAAGGTAACAGAAAGCTTGTCCACGTATAAGGAATAAGTCGAGGTGGCTGATGGCGTCGTTTCGTGGATAATTTAAGTCACAAGAATATAAAAAGACGGTTATTTTTCCTTTCTACTTCTCAACCACATTTCCTTGTTTCCACTACCTCTTTCCCCTCTCTCTTCCACTTCTCTCCTCCACCTCTTATTTCCCGTTGTTATAGTTACGCTCATGGTAACATCCCTTCCATCTCTTCTCCAGGCTGACGGACTGACCGTCTCATAAACTTCGTCCTCTAGGGTGACGGACTGATTACATCGTCTTTACATCTTAAATGTTTTTGCAAATTTTCTGTACTCGACTGAAGAAACCTACTGTGTAGGCGAACCGGAATAAAGATACGTAACTGTTACACATGTCTTACTTTTTCTCCCCATATTATGTAGTATCGTCACCCTAGAAACATCTTGACGCAGTCTCCACTGTAAAACCTTCTCTGTATGCCTCACTCAGTCCCTTTACAAAAAGAAGCTTAAAAATTAACGAGTTATTTTTTCTATCTTTCTTTTCCTCTCTCTGTCCACCCCTCTCCTTCCCCTGACATATCTACCATATCCCTAGCTTTCCTTATCCCCTACCTGCCTCCCTATCCAATATCTTTAACTTTTTTTGATCTGTGTCTCATTTTCCTCTAAACCAGAAATTAGAAAAAGGCCGAAGGTTTGCATCCAGACTACTCACAGAACTGAGTGAAGTATAATATTAGAAGCGAATCAGGAAACTGAGTCTGACTAGCTGGGAGAGATGGACCAGGGAAGATATGATCACGACTTGAAATGTAAGAGGAACTGAGAGGCAAGGTAGAGATTAACTGAATTAAGAGGACCACGATTAAGAAAGATACAGGTGGAAGCTGAAGACACAGAGAAGCTGTACACATGTAAGGACTTATATATTTAATTTCAGATGGTTGAAATGTTAAATGATTTGGATAGGGAAGTGGTGGAGACAAAGACTATACACAGCTTGAAAGGTAGAGAGAAAAAGACCCAGGAGAGAAATGAGAAGTTCCTTTCACTCTAGGAGGCTGGGCCAAGAGCCAAGTCTCTCTCTCTCTCTCTCTCTCTCTCTCTCTCTCTCTTTCTCTTGTGTATTAGGACAAACACTTAAAGCTACTTATGGTGTTGTCTTCAGCGAACTGCCGCTTACTTAAGCTCATTTACGGAAGGAAGAGTAGAAGGACGTGATAAAGGAAACGGAGGAAGAGAAGGAGCAAGATGAAGTGAAAGAGCAATATAAAAAGGTAATAATGTTGGAAGTTGTTAGGCATAACAGATAGTGAATATATGCAGTGAGTTGAAACGTGAAGAGAAGGGATAAAAGACGGGAGAGAGATGGATGGAGACAAGAGGAAAATTAAAAGAAAGACAGGAGAGGTGAAACGGGAGAGGGGAAAACGTGAACGAGACGGAAAGATGTTGAAAAGACGAAAGAATAATATAAAGGTCAGATGGATAACACAAAAGAGAGAAGAATAACACAAAGGTCAGAAGAATAACATAAAGGGGTTAAAGCACTGAAAAGAACAAGTGAAAGAGAGGGGAGACCGGACAAGAGATCAGAAAGGAGAGAAAAATGGGTAGAGGTATGGAGAGACGTAAGCAAGGAGGGGAGAAAGAGAGAGAGAGAGAGAGGAGAGAGAGAGAGAGAGAGAGAGAGAGAGAGAGAGAGAGGCTAGAAGGTATCTGCAGACGGAGACGTGTTAATGTTGTTGCAAGGACAAATTAATTGTCTTCACAACATCACCGAGTTGAGGTATAGGAGAGGGACGAGGTGGAGGGTAGAAAAGTTGAGAAGAGGTGGAGGAAAGAGGAGAGATTGATATGGGAAGAGAGGGAGAGGAGGCCGTGCAACATTCAAGCCTATAGAGCAATCCAACACGAGGGATAGAGTATACTCCAGCAGATAGATTTGGTTCATCATATATTGCCACCACCAGAAACATGACACAAACTGACACTAGTGTTTACAACTGACCCTTATGACACAAGCTGACACTCGTGTTTATAACTGACGCTCATGACACAGATTGACACTAGTGTTTACAAGTGACGCTCGTGACCCAAATAAACACTAGTGTTTACAACTGACGTTCATGTTTACATAATATGACTGACTCATTGAGTCACGAACAGAGATTTGTGCAATTATTTGTACCATGGGCAGTGGGTATGAACCCGTTAACTAACCTGTGAATAAAATACGGAATGAGTGAGTGAGAACACTCGCTGCTACAACTATAAATACTCATATTAGGAGGACAGATTCTAGTGTGATGCTAGCCATCCTCAGGCTGGTAAGGTTCTGAAGATTCAGGCTCTTTCTACATGCGAGGTAGCGTAA